ACTCAGTGCTTGAAAATGAAACGTACGGTTGCTTACGAATGTATACTGGTTTTACTTCCGGGTCTCCAAAAGGGTCCAGGCGAAAATCCAGCTGCCTGCAAAACACAAAGAATTGGTCACACGAGTTTCTTTAATACAGTCATATGTATAGATAGCAGTGATCAAAACCAACAGAGACTATATGTGACCATAGCCATGTTTCAAATGAATCACTTAAATTAATGGTATAATAAACAAACTAATCACTGACTCGTAACGAAAATCCCTGCAACAAGCAGAAAATTGAAACGGGGAAGAGCTGAAGTGGACGTATATCCATTTGTCCAAGGAGTCAAGCGCAGATGCTGGCAGGAAATCTGTTGGTAGTTTCGCTGATTGGAGAATTTCTATAATTATCAGATAATTATCACGAAATCGATAAACAACGAACTTACGATTTCTAAGCAATAAAAGACAATTATCGACCGGTCCACGTCTGCGCTGCAGTTCAAGTGAGTATGGATCAGCGGAAACTTCTACCCAATTTATACCAATTAGACCTGAACAAAAATATGAATATCAGAGGAAAAAAGATATGTTTCATCACACGTTTCCCTTAAATTCACAGAATTGGAAACGTCTACAGATGTTAAACCTTCATCATCAGGGAACAATCAGATCACCCCATCAGAGTTTATTAGCGTGCGCAATGGGCATTGCTCTGGACGAAATTTCTTTCAACATTTCGTCTCTCCATCTCGATGAGTACTCTAGACTGCATGTCACTCAGTTCTGGGTCGCGGAGGCAGACGCGTCACGCAGTGTTCTCAGCATTCCTGAACATCTGCCAATATTGGAGCCTCGGAAGGAGATAACCTTTGAGTCTGGAGCATTGTTTGTTGAGACATTTGCCCCAGACTCTTGGTCGTCCCCTGGGTTTTCTGCCGACCAAGTAAAAAGTAGTTGCTGTTCCGCCTTCCTATCTGAAAGCATTCGCAACACCTGCTCCATCCATTGCAGCTGTGACTTCTTAGTCAAGAGAAACGGCAGTTGAGCACCAGGGATCTCTCAGATATCTGAACTCCGGAACATTTCGAATTTCTTGAGCCCAGCTATTCAGCGCAGAAAGCCAGTGTAACTTCTTTGTATCCAGCATCAAGGTTTTTCAATCTTGTCCATAGGTGATTTACGACCATAGGTGAGGATGACGAAGACAATCGATTTGAACGCAATAAAGATGAGGCCTTCAGGTTCAGCTCTGCTTTACTCCCAGCGGTTCGAACCAGCTCATTCAGAACGCCACTGGCTACTCGAATCCTTCAGTCGGTCTTTTCCTCCTATTTTCAATCAGCTGTAACCATCTCAAGGTAGTGAACTTTTCCACCTGCTCCACTGCTCCTCCGTTCATTTGAAGAGAGCAACGTGAAGAAGAACGAGGAAACACGAAGACTTATGTTTTAAGTTCCTTCACATGAATGCCACCTGCATCGCACTCGGCTGCGACCCTTTCCAGAAAACACTGGAGATCAATTTCAGAAGATGCTGAGAAGGGCGACCTTGTCGTTTCGACGTCTTCTACTTTCCTCATTCTGTCTGTGCCTGACTATTACGTCCATGTATAACACAAACAGGGGAGGGAGCAGAAGCAGACTTGGCGGAGACTAGTGCACTAATGCCTGCCTACAATGAAATATTTTGACCTAATGCAATTTGCTGTGACGCAGCACCTGCTATCAACATTTATTGATGGGTGGCTCACTACAACTGGTCATCGATCCCATATGTTTGCACGTACGCCTTTTACATTCTACATGAATTACGGTCATAGATCTTCTATAGTTCGACAAAGCACATGTAAACCGAATGACCGAACTCGCACGATTTTTCAAAGACCTGAGAAAGCTCGACTCGGTCAGAGGTGCTTCCGCCCGGTCTGCAGCCACACTGGGTTCATTGTATCTCAGAGTCAGTTATTCCGCAACAACTTTAACCTAACACCTTTGCTTAGACTTTGTTCGTGAGACTAAATAAGGTAATACCGTGATAATTGCAGCACTCCCTGTGGTCTTCCTTCTTGATTACGGGTCTACAATCCCGTTCGTCAATCCATTGCTGACATCCATAGACACTGCTGCTTGAAAGATCCGTGTTGGTCACAAAATGCCCTCTTCGCCTAAAGCTTTAACCGTCTCAGACTCGTAGACTGTCTATTCTCATAGGCAAATTTAATGTGATGGCATACGAAGCCTGATAATTCCAGCATATTAATAAGTCATTAGTCGACCGTTTCACAATTTAAAACTGGTCTTAGTTGAATTTAAAATCGGATAATGAACTTCACCGGACTTTATTCTCTGCACGTGTTGAATGACTGTGGTTATCTTCAGCCGAAACTTAAACGCTAGCACAGCTCCGGGAATGTTGGAAGGAGCGTCTGATGCATCTACCTCTTTGAGTTGAAAGGAAAGACAACCACAGAGATTGAAATTCAAAATACTCCACCAGCAATGCTCGACATACATATTAAATTTCTGAAAGCCACTGTTATGTACCTTACCATTCTCTTATCACTCGATTTCGATGTATAACTATATTTTTTACGACTTTCATCTACTTCAAACCTGCGTTTTTACTATACAACATTCATGATGTGAGAAATGTTGAAAAGCCATGAGATATTTGAGCACATACCTTCCATTTTGGAAGTCGTAAGTACGTAGTAGCAATGTCGTCTGTAAAATGAGAGTAGAACTATCGTAATGATCCACCTCTAACATTAAAGTTCCTAAGGGACCGGGACTTTCGCCCTTACTTTCAACATTGCTCTGGACTTTTTCCTCCGGAACAGTGCTGAACTGGAAAAAGAAATCTTTCCCTTCCAGAAAGTAGACAGCTCAAGAAATGAATCCAGATATCGTGCTCATTATGCCTATTATGCTGCTGTTCAAGTGATTAATATTCAAATTAGGCCAGAAAATCTGACATTTTACATGTGCACTCAACCTGCGGAAGCCTTTTCTTCCTTAACACCTTAAAATTAGACTTTAGGGTAAATCCATCTTCTCTGTAGTTGCAACAAGCAAAAGAAACTGCAAATTAAACATTACAATAACTCAATTAATCATATCCCGAGAGGGCACCATTCAGGTTGAATTAACTGTTTTATTTTGAATGATCGCACTTGAAATTATCACTGTTTCTAATGGTTTTGGTCAGATAGAAATATTATTTTATGTATAATTCCACCTATGCCTTGTTTGGATCGAACGATGCTGTTATGCCGCAGTTGAGAACTTATGATAGCTTTAGCTACTATGCATAATCACGAGTAAAAGGGAAAGTCAAGCAAGCCTACATTCTAGGTTACATTCTCTTTCAGGCACGGGCATCTCCAACAGATGCAGCAATTCAAAGAAAGAATTTGGTTCTGTATCGTATAAACCTGTGCGTCATCATCATGCCCCACCGCCGCTTCTTCTTTCGGGTCGCGGAGGAAGACGCGTCAGACAGAGATTCCAACGTTCCCGATCCTGTGCCAGAGTCTCAGCTTCGCCAAAAGACAACTGGAGTCTAACAGACTCCTTCATATATCTGCACCACGTTAATCGTCGCCGTCCCCTGGGCCTTCTGCCGGTCGGATTTGCAAGGAACAGTTGCTTAGCCTTCCTTTCTGGAAGCATTCGCAACACATGCCCAAG